TAAAGACTAGGATCTAGATTGTATGACTCAATTCAGTGACTTTATTCAAAGAGATTCCCGCAAAAATACACGCGATCACATACACATGCAGACATTAAAAGACGCATATATTTATAGGACTCATATATTTAACAATTTGTCACTTTATTCACTCTAAATCGAAAAAGAATAAAGTGGTAAATAATTTTTGAACTTCCCTTCATCCTTCTTCATTTTGTGGATACAAGAAGTCGACTTACTTCTAAATTGAGAAGAGTTGCGAAATTTGGAGAAATAAAGTAGAGTATCCCTTTTGTTGATCCTTTCAACGTGACGCCACGTATTAGCATAATTACTAAAACTACGTAAGGAAATATGGCGGTTACCCAGGAGGCCTATAATAAGAAAGTCAAAAAGGAGCAAGTGGTCAAGAGGTCAACTTCAACTGAGCAAAGGAAAACAGAAAAAACAAATAATCGCCTTTACGCACAATAAGGTATTAGGCTTATAAAAAAAATAAATAACTTATTTACTTTCTACTCAACTCCTTATTGGGAAGATAAGGAGGAAATGTAAAAAGAGGCATGCAAGAAATAAGCATTTTTGTCAATCTTGACCTTTGAATCAAGCAATTGTCAAAAGACCGGATATAATTGCACCTCCTTTGTTGCTCTCTCGTATTCATATTATATGGAAACACTCCATACAAGAACAACTAATTACTCCGAATTGCATAAATTTCCTCTGGCTCTACCTGAATATGCATGTTTAGAATTTTTAGCTCACTTAAGATGAGGTGAGCAAATTGAATTTTCCCCCTACGAAATAAATGGACTTCAAGATACCATTAATTTTCACATTACCATTCAACTGATGGGAAAATTGTGATAATGATGATGATGATAATTATGAAGTCAAAACTGCAGTTGAGACTGGATAAGAATAACTTTTAGGAAGCATGGCTATGTGAAAATCAATGGAAACGTAAGGTCTGCTCATATCATTGTGAGAAAGTTTAGCTATCAGTCCAACATCATCTTGTGCGATATAAGATGATCCAAGGTTTTTATTTTTAAAATACGAATCTTAAACTGAAGCGATTAAACAATTCAGCATAAGTGACTCACCCTTTGCTTTTACAAATAGACCCTTAACATTTCGGGCCTAAAAAGAATAATTCTTAGTTTGACCTCATTTTAGCAAATTGGTCGGAGCGACAGGACAACCTTGCGGAACATCTCTCACTGAGGATGCCGGCGAAACTTCTGGGAATGTGCCGAGTCAATAGTCTGTTGCTGGAATTCATTATGAATAATATGACAGAGAAAGTAGTATTAGGTAAGTTCCACAAGGTCTCCCTGTCACTCCGGCTAAGTTGCGAAAACGAAGTCAAACCAACACTGAACAGCTAAAGGAGGCTGCGGCCAGACAAAAGACTACCTTATTTTGATCTTCGATACAAGATGATTATTCCCTCGTCTGATTTATGACGAATGAAATCTACGAAAATCGCTACAATGAGATTCAACCGTGCTGGGTTATAGCATGTATACATTGGGTGCTGGTTTGCCAAGTTCGCAGGAAAAATGACGCGTCATGTCTTAGAAATAAACAACCATGTGGCTAAGGAGTCATTCCCGTGGTGATGCCTCCTTGTTTATTGAAAGAAAGAAAAAATGTTGACTTTGTATATTCGGGATCAAAACACATAGGCCTTCTTAGTTTAATTCCATGAAGCTCACATGAAATGTATTTCATATAGTGCTACAGTATTTCACTATGTCGTGCTTTTAAAGTGTTTTTTGATTCTGCCTAGACCACAAGTTAGACCGTCGGTAGGTTAATCTACTTGGTCTAGAGGTCGTCGTTCTGAGTCTGTGTTTTCACTTTCCAGCTTCGAATGCAGTTTGAGGTGAAGACTAGAGCTAGACGAGGTAGAACGGCAATCCAGCCCGGAAGAGAACATACTTTAGGTGTGAGTGACATATTGAATGTAGAAATAACTCATCCCTTCAATTCGCAACATATAGATCAACTGTCACTGTCTTATACACTTGCTAATCTTTGTTTTTATCAGTAGCAACAGAAGTAGTAATAATAGGAGTTTAGGCCATCACGAAGAACCATTTATATCCCTAATCTCATCGTTTTAATGCTTTAATTTTGTTTAATTATGCAATTATCAAAACTCTTCGGATTTTTGCGACTTATAAATATTCGTTGATTCTATTGCTATTTTGATTGAAATTGTTTTGTGAAAAGATTCGGAGGCCGATTCTCCCAACTGTGGATTGGCCTGACTAAATATTCTTGTTGACGTTTTTCTGAGGCAGCCTCCTTCGATTCCGGTAGAAACGTGCAAAGCTTTCGTCCTTCGTATGATGGAAATCATCAGAGAAGAGTATCATCCTTACGACCATATTGTAGCTAACGAGCAATACAATTCACGGGTTCATCCCTAAATGCTGACGAAGGAGATTGCTTCTGGAACAGCGTCAAAAAGTAAAGCACCAGTAAAGCCAATCGACAATTGACCAAAAGGAATCCGCCATCGTCTTCTGATTGAATCGACCTATGAATCTCTTCACAAAACACTTCAACTCGAAATGGAAGTAAGCCCAACAACTTGAACCAAGAGATTGCCCTAAACCCAACTTTTCTTCGTGTTTAGTTATCCTCCAGTTATTCATTATTTTTACACCTAGTTTAATGGTTCAATTAAATTTTAGTTTGGCCTGTTTGCCTGTCTGAAACATCGTCACATTCACAAGGAGACGTCAGATCACATATCAATTGCTGCCTCCGCTACTCTTTTTGCTAGTTGGCATTTCCACAAATTTTAGGGAGACGTCCTTAATGGAGATGGGCAATTTCCCTCAACGCTCTGATAAGGCGTATCAAGAGGCCAAAAAGCGTAAACTAATTTATGAAGACCAAGATGGTGTGGCTATCGGTATCGCTGCAGTCTCCTTTCGACATATAGAAGTGGTTTGACCTCGTTTTTGCAACTTGGTCTTGTTGTCAGAGCGACTTAGTTGAACGCACCTTGTCCGAAGTCCTCTGCCGTAGTGATTATCATAATTCCCAGCGTCAGACCGTGGACTCAGTACATTCTCAGACGTTTCCCTTTGGTAGAGGAGTTCCAACAAAGTGTGTCCATCTTAGTCGCTGAGACAACAAGACGAAGTTGAGAAAACGAGGTCAACCCACTTCTATAAATCGAAAGGAGACTGCGATCATACCACACACCATCTTGGTCTTCATATCTTCGATTAAACTAAGGCAACAATAGTGCAATACACTACAGTGAATACAGCTGGACAGAGAAGACAATTGTAGGTCAATCATCTCATATTACTTTTTTAAACTGTTGTAAACGTTATGATATCACTCCTGATTTCTGTGACATTAATGGACCCTACCATTCGGATAAGTTAAATGAGTTTCTCCTCCAAAACTCTATTTAGAAGTTAAGTGAAACCTGTGATACAGAGAGAAATGGGCTATTGAATTTATAGACAATAAGTAAAAGCTCCGGCATTATCCGGCCAAGATCCTGACTCCGGAAAACTTTCGAAAACTCCAGAGCATGACCAACAGGAAATCACGTAGGACGTACTACTTAATAAAAAAGCGACATGACGATAAATTGCGAAAGTTTGGGATTACAAGACAGCGTATTTTAAAGCCAATACTCCTAGTTGAAGTAGTTTCCGGGGCTAAAACACCGACTGGTCAGCAATATGATGGGAAGAAATTAGTGAATTCAGCATCACTTCCTTTTACTCCCGAAACAGCCACAATCCTGAAGAAAAGAATCAACTTTTCAGCTAAAAATGAAAAAGGCCTGCTCGAAGACAACCTGATGGAGGTAAACAATATCTCCGACATGTTCACTGAGAAGACAAACTAAAAATGAAGATGATATTAATTCCAAGTATCTTGGCATATTAAGAGGCAACACAGAAGAAGATATGTGCCAAGGTATGCAAGAGCCCAAAATGAATGAATGATAAGACAATCATGCCGAGAGAGGAGGAGCAAGAGTTATAAGAGACAAAACAAAATATACCAAGGAGATGGAATGTATTCTGCGAGAGAGGATTACACATCGTAAACTAAAGAAGGACCCAACTATGAAGATCAATGGAATCTTAAGTAAAATGCTGAAAGACATGCTTAGGAACGGGAAAATTTGCGAATGGAGAACAAAGTTAATAATAGGAAGGGATGCACGACTACCAACGGCCTACGGATTGCCGAAGATATATAGAGAAGGCGAACCACATAGACTTATATCCAACGGCAAGTATGAAGCAACACACAAATTTGCAAAGTTCATATACTTGAAACTCAAGAAATTAAATGACAGGCATTCATATGAATTTTCTCAAAAAATCAAAGACATGACATCGGAGGAAACAGGCTCACTGTTAAGTTTTGAAGTGCAATTGATGTATAGAAAGATGTCTGGAGAAAAGGCACTAACGGCACTGCTGGAAATCATTAACCGAGAGGAGGATATCCTGGTAGCAGCCAGGAGGTAGTTGTTAACACGACTGAGCAACTTGAAAATAAGTACAACCTATTTATTACACATTCAATTGGAACATCCATGAAAAAACTTTTGGAATTCGCATGGGATCGCCGCACTCACCTCTTTTGGCAAACGTATACATGAAAAAGTTAGAAGGGAATTTCCAGATATCGCCACTTACACCAGCAGCGTTGATGCGCTACCTGGACGAATACTTTACATTCTGGTCACATGAAAGAGCCAAACTGGAAGATTTCCTGAAGTTTATAATTCAGGTTAAGGAAAAACTCAAATTCACAATGGACGTAGAGGAGCGTGAATGCTCACTTTTCCAGGATAATAAAGTGATTCGCTCTAAAGGGACGCTCGTGAAGAAATTGTTCAGAAAAATTCTTATTCCGTGATTATACTCAATTTCCAGTGCCATCACAACTACTGTCTAAAGATAGGAATTATGAGAAGCATGATCACCAAAAGCCTACGATTAACGGATGTAGAATTCTGGGATAAAGAATTGAGCATATTGACCCGGATATGCCTCGGCAACAGGTATTGGAGACAGGTAATATGAAGAAAGATACTGGACGGGTAAAGCCGGTGGTAGAACAGAGACTATGAAGGAATAGCAAGGACAGAGACAGGCGCACAAAAGTGGCGGGGGCCTGATAGTTACGGAACTAGGCCGATGGATTAGCAGAACTACCAGCGAAATTCGGCATTCTGGCCAAATAGTTCTAGAACTCGACTTGAGAGGCAGCAGGCTTCCACAATTTGCTCAAGTAATACGTGTTTAATCAAGGATACGACCCGTGAAGGTATTGACTAGAATTTGCAAACATGGGAATCAGAAGTGGGTTGACCTCGTTGTCGCTACTTGGTCTTGTTGTCAGGCTGACTATGTAGAACGCACCTAGTCCAAAGTCGTATGCCATGGGAATCAGAGCTTAGGGTCTCTGCTCGGTGAAGCAACAGTGTTCATGCTGATAAAGACTTAGGAAAGAGCGCAAGGGGTTTAAGGTGCAGTGGGCCTGAGACTGGGTGAAATTGGTCAACTAGAAACGGATCTACATGACCATGGGTGAGATCCGGATAGGAGGCTTGAGTCGGATTGTCCGATCGAAAGAGAGGGGGGAAGGGTGAATGACAGGTGTGACGAGGCCACAGTAAATTTGGCAAAAATGGTACGCATTTTGACGACTGGAATGTAAACAAGTTAGACGTTGTGATAGAGCGGGTGTTGGAAAAGAGGGTAAAACTTTGATGGATGGGCCAGGACGGAAAGAGGAGTGATAGGGAAACGGTTTCGACAGAAAGTCTGGTCAGGGTTTTGACTTCACTCTTCCGTTTAACGAGCTGTCTCTTGGTGCTGGGGATGACAAGACTCACCGATGATGCCGACTAGGATGCCGGCAAAACGTCAGAGAATGTGCCAAGTCCACGGTCTGACACTGGGAATTGGGATAAATACTATGACAGAGGACTTTGGTCAAGGTGCCTTCAACTAAGTAACTCTGACAACAAAAGCAAGTTGCAAAATCCAGGAATAAACTAATTCATGTTTGTGACGCCCTGATGCTGACAGTTCGGGCTGAAGCATAAGAGCTCAATTGAGACTGGATACATTTTAAAGGATTATTTTCAGAGTTTTCAATTTCCGGATCATTTAAAAACAAGTTGAGAAAATAATACCAAATGCAGATACCACAAGGAGTGTTCTCACCTTGCCCAGCCACTTGACTCCCTTGAACAAGCAAAGGTAGAGTACGACGTAGACAAAAAGTAGAGATATGCTGATTTCCCAGTAAAGTTTTTTAGTAGCTTCTGCTCCATCACTTTCGTGCATATGCAGCATTCTGTTCCTGTGAGGGAGATTGTTGCCAGAACAACAAGTATGTAGAGAGGTGTCATACGCAAAAGCCATAGAAAAATAATTAAAATTAATTACTGTCTGCCGTCTTTATGTATTAATTACAGAAATTAAAGGTGTCAAAGTGTTAATACATCTTTTAAGCATCGTCATCCAATGGTTAACTTGGTGCCCTGTTTAGGCCCAATTTCTGGCCTCTCTTGGGGTCATTTATGGGAATTTTGATATTACTATTGGATTTTATCATGTTTTGATGGATTTATAATCACTGTAGATCACTTATGGTTTTTGAAGGCCTAACAGATAATTTTCCTTCATTGAAAAGAGAAGGACGAATGATACCGTAAAATTTCACTTGGCGATTTCTCTCAGAAGGCTTGCTCATCGGGGCTGGACTGCTGTCTCGACCCGACTTTGGTCTCATGAGAATCTCTAAGGCGAATTGAAATTTCCGCCTTCTCCGGTTTTTTTGCAGGCGACGGAACAAGGCTTGACGACAATGGGTTTATTTGGTGAAATGTTAAGATCTACAGGATGTGATCACTTATGTCATAAATACATGGTGTACATTCTCCATCAGGCTGGAGTATATTTTAGTCAGGTATGGAGCTAGTCACCCCCTTCAGGGGGACTCAAATCCGGAAATCATGGATCCGAATGCAGATGGGCATCGTGTCGCCAAGCTGGTTGATACCCAGTTTCACATACCCTTTGAAGATACTGATGAGACCATTTCACGTTTAAAACGGCAGTTCAAAGCGTGTTATATCATATCATTATTTAATCTAACCTTCATATCAACCTTAAGATCACCTTAAGTAACTTAGGCTGGCCAAGCTCTAAATTAGGAATTGGCAATAGTCTCGAAAACTATTCTCATCGCGGTTAATAACGGTTACTTTAGATCCTTCCCTGCGCCTACTTATTTATTGAGCTGGCCATACTTCCTGCGTTTGGCTATGGCACCTTCTTTATCTTCTTCTGTGTCCTGCTGCCTCCACAGACCAGGATTCCGGAGGCCTCGGAGAGCTGTCAAAGCACATACCATGAACAGGCTTTCCACAGTCGTCAAAACAGAATGCAGAAGTAAGTGTCCAGGGCTATTATCGTCTGGCGGATCAGGCTTCAGTTTATGCATACTCTAAGTTAGACATAGAATATTCCTTGCCGTTAGACTATGACCCATTCAAAGCTGAATTATGGGTTCATTCTTTCAACACAATCTACAGGGTGAGATTAATGGGCAAGTGATTTCTTCAGTTCAATTCATCAGGGCTAGTCGAATTCCAGCCTCACAAACACCAAAATCAACTTTATAATTTTATGCAAGACTTCAAACCAAGTAATATACGCCAACCTTTAAGTATTATTTAAAATGTATTCCATTTTTTAGTAGGATGCACTTTTGAAGGAAACTATATCGTCTCAATTTGTAGAGGGAATTTCACTTACCAGTGCCTAAAAACTTGGGTCAATCAGCGGTGCAACTTGACACGATGTAAATTTATTTATGATTACTAATAAGTTCAAAATAGTTTATTTAATAGCAAAATAAAGGCATTCAAATCAAGAATCTAAGTTTTGCTGTACCTTTGATTTCATTAAAAAATTTAACTTAACATGGTTTTGTAAAGTTGCCTACCCTGAACACTAAAATCGTCTTAGAAATGGGAGTTTTGTTTCACTGGCCCACTATCTTGTGATTCAAATGAATTCGTGCTGGGACTTTCTTTCTGCTGCAGTCAGACTTTAAGAACATTTCACCACGACTGATGGCCGGCTCTGAGTCTATCAATCACT